TGTGTGTGTGTGTGTGTGTGGACCTACTGTCTCCGTGGTGAACTCTGGAGCGTTGTCGTTGACATCAGTGATCCTGATGACGGTGGTGGCGGTGTTGGAGAGGCCGTAGGTGGGGTTCCCCTCCATGTCCGTGGCCTGGATGATCAGGGTGTACTGCGTGACTTTCTGCGATCACAAACAGAAAGCATCACTGATTCTGCAGACTGAAGCGTCCCACTGCGCATGATGTGACTCTGAAATAAATCTAATTAAAACCATTTGACAAGGGGACTGTCATTTTGTGTAATCACCATTACAGCTGATGATTTACTCAGTGCTACTTAAAAATAATGTTCAGAGACATGATGACTGCAAAATCGGTTCACACTCGCTCCCTGTACTAATGTAAGACAGTTTCTGCTTTCGAGAGCACAATGATCCCATTTTTAGGGCAGCTCACTGCTGATGCTCTAAAGCTGATAATGTAGCTCAGACCTTAATTACAGAACCCGCTGCTCTATGATAACACTACAGCTGAGCTGCAGATCACCTGACAGATCACCTGACAGATCACCTGACAGCGAGACGATGTTTAGACTTTTTTCTTTAAACTGAAATTTAAAAAGAATAAAGTGCAAAAAGTGATGGAGACTTAATCCGACCTCATCCTGGCGTGTTGACCGTGGTTACTTCCTCTGTATTGCCTCATTTTCTTCTTTGTGCAAAGTTGGATTTTTCTGCTGTTTTTCAGGCTTTTAAATCTTCGGTCGTTGTTTGCTGCACATTCTTTCTTTTCTGTGATGATGCTTTTATTCTGTTTTTAATCGCTCTCTATTATTACGCTGTCTGTGTCACCTCATTATCAGCTCGTCAGTCACCTCTGAAACAGCAACCTGCACCAAAGCTGCCACATAAATGAACTTTGGTTGATTGACTGAGAACAAAAGACGAGTGCAGATTACTTTGTCAGTTACTTCAGGCTTTGTACTCTAATAACAGCTGCAGCTGTGAGCCCCCAGTGTGCCCAGAGTCAGTTTGCCCTCCAGTTCAACTGTTTGTTCGTTTTGCTTCTTATATCAAACGTGCAGATTTTGCAACTATGACTTTCAGCTACGATGGAGCTGCGATTCCAGATTTGATCACATCCAGGCTGAGTTTCTGCTCCATGTTGGACTCAGTGAGGCACAAACATCACGACAATTAGAGCTGGTTGGAAACGCAGCTGCGACACTCCTGCCTGGCTCCCAGAGCAGTTTACTGTTTGTGGGGCTTCCTTCTGAAATGTCTCCATTAGCTTATCATGCTACATTTTGCATATGTGTGTCATTGCAGCACTTTTCATGTTTGCAGATGTTTGCTCCTCATTGTTGCACCTGAAGGTGCAGCTGCTGTGATCTGGTTACACGCTACACTGATGGCTGCTGGTTCCAGATCATAGCTGTTACAGTTTCCTGCCCCGTGCAGCTTGATGAGGTCAGAAGCTTCAGTTTAAAGTTCCAGTTGCAGCTCAGAAACACGGGAACAGCCTCCCAGCAGTCACATCAACAAACAGAGCTCTGCTTCTTCTTTTGGAAACTTTTTGTTTCAAATGCGATACAAAAATATATAATAACTATATAATAACTATATATTAAATATATAATAACTATATATTAAATATATAATAACTATATATTACACAACATGATGTAGCAAAAAAAGGGTGTGAATTTGTTATAAGGCTTAATAAATGTCTCAGTTCTGGTTATATTTCGATGGGTTGGGTCTTACAGGGTTAATAATTAATATCAGTGATGGTGTTACAGAGAGACGTATCTCAGCCATGCAGGTCTGGCTGTTGGCACAGAGACTCAGCTCAGCTGCTTTTATTAGGTAAACAGGGTTAATCTGACCTGCGAATCACAGACGAGCTCAAAGACAGAGCTCTGAGTGAGAACAGTAGGTACCTCTAAAAACAGACTTCGTCAGTGACTATTACTGCTGGCGTGCAGACAGCACGGCCTCAGACAGATGGAATTTAGCTCTGCTGACGTAAGACTTTAAAAAGCTGTCTTTATGCTGCAGGACACACTCAGGCTGGACACACTCAGGCTGAGACGCAGCTGCTCCATATGGATTCAGATATGAGCGTTAGAAAATGTCCACATTTAACACACACACACACACACACCTCCCGATCAAGGCCTGCCGCCACAGTGATGATGTCACCAGTCTTGTTGTTAATGGTAAACATGTTGGAGGAGGGGCTCTGGGGATTCTGGGAAAGGATTTTATATCTCAGCATCCCGTTGGCAGTTTTTGGATCATCCTTGTCCACTGATGTCACCGTCATCACGAAGGATCCTGCAGGGAAGCACACAGCAAGTCAGCACACATATGCCAGGGAAGGAGTGATGTAATCCACAAGTTACTGTGTGTGAGTGTGTGTGTGTGTGTGTCTGTGTGTGTGTGTGTGTGCTGGTACCAGGCTTGGATCCCTCGGGGACGGAGCCATTAAAGATGCTGTGAGTGAACTCTGGTCTGTTGTCGTTCTGGTCGATGACATTAATGACGATGTCGATGGGGTTCTCCACCTGATTCCCATTCAGGTCCACTGCGTGGGCTCGCAACTATACACAGACACACAAACATGCACACACATGCTTTTATTAGGAGAGAGACAGGTGAAGACGGTAATAAACTGCTTCCTTCCACTGAGACTAATTACGAGAGTTTAGTGCTCTGAGAGACCTCAGGAGATAAACGAAGCAGCCCACAAGGTTAAAGGAAGCACAAGTGCACATATAGCAGGAAACTGAGCTAATAAATGGATCTCAGGCACCTGTGAGTCACTTATTTTATGAACAAAGAGCTCACACGTAGTTTAGATTGAATGCTGTTACTGTGCAATCTTATATCAGTTTTATCTTGCAGGGGGCTAAAAAGCAAAACCGCTGAGAGGTCGAACGATTTGCCAACAATCTGACAAAACTGGTGATTACTGCTGAAATAGAAAATGTTAAATAAGATTGCAGCAGAGTCGTACAAGTGTGGATGAGGACAAACCCTTTGCATGGTGAAGAAAATCCCTTTTATGGCTGCAGAGTAATTCAAGACTGCTGTGCAGGATTTAGACAGACATGTTTCTTTGTTAAAGATCAAGAGGAGACTTCAGGCTCCAACCTTTGAGGATGCAGCACACGCACAAACCCCATAACACAAAACAGAACCACTAAGGCTAGGTTGTGGTTTGGGCATGCATGGCTGCCAGTGGATATCCCACACCCACAAAAGCAAGCAGCTGAATGAATGCAGAATTATACAGGAGCGTTGTGTTTGTACACATTGATTCAAAGGCATAAAACCTTATTGGAGCACATTTCATCGGTCAGCTGAGCAATGATCCTAAACAAATGGATAAAACAACCAAAGAGCTTTTAAGGTGGCATAACTTCACCTGTCACCTGTTCTCAGTCTGATTAAACTGCTGAAGATGAAACTGAAGCTGGGAAGTCCAACAACAAGGAGTCTGCATGAAACTGTGTCACAGCCTAGTGGGTTTCTATGGACCCCAGACTTCAGGCAACCATAAATCACAAAACACAAAATATGAATTATTATTATATTTATAACAGGAATGGTTCTCCCGCGTTTTAACAGTGATTCTGACATTTTGTCACATTGTGACAAATATTTACTGTGTACTTTGGAAAAAAATGTCACAATAACCCAGCAACTAGTTTTGGATCATGAATGAAAAAAAAAATGCTGAAAGCAATATTCCAGTCTCAGTGCATCAAACAGTCCCACACTGCTTTTACAACTGGGGCTGGGCCACCGTTCACAGTAATACTGGTGTAATGTTGGGCAACGATAAGAAAATGAAATATTGCGAGAGAATATGGTTAAAACACGCAGTGCCTTTGTTTTCATACGCACATGGCGGCGGCGGAGAATGAGAA